GCCCTGGGGAGCTGGCACTGCCCTGGGGAGCTGGCACTGCCCTGGGGGAGCTGGGAGTACCCTGGGGGAGCTGGGAGTACCCTGGGGGAGCTGGCACTGCCCTGGGGGAGCTGGCACTGCCCTGGGGAGCTGGCAGTGCCCTGGGGAGCTGGCACTGGCTGAGGAGCCAGGTGATCCCGCCTGCAGTCCCAGAGCAGCAGCTCTCTTGCTGCCCTGCAAGGGTTAATCAGCATTTCAGAGGCAAGAAAGGGTTTGTGACCCTTGTGAGTGCCCCACACATGGCAGACACTGGCTGACAGTGCTGGGTGAGGCCTCCTTGGTGCCAAGGGTGGCACTGGCAGTGACAGCTGAGCACAGGGGGTGCAGCCCCTGCACACCTTCCTTAATGACTCCTTGCTCACTACTGTTTAAATGGAAAAAAATATAATTTATTCTGGGAAAATCTCTGAGTCACCTGTCACAAGAGCACAGTTTATGAACCTTGTAGTAGCTTATTTAATGCTAAGATTCAGCATTTTGACTCTCAGTGCTCCCAGCATCGTGGCTGTGTCAGGGAGCAGAGTGAATATAAAACTGGGAGTGCTCTAAGGCTGGGCTGAACTTTCAGGAGAGCTTGGAGCAGGAGGCAGAGCACACTCCATGAGCTACAGCTCACCTGCCAGAACCCAGCAGCTGCACCAAGACTCCTACCTGAAGAGGACAATTCTCTTGACCTCTTTGAAAATCAGAATATTTTGCTGTTCTTTGCAAGAATGTTCTGTGTCTGTCCATGGCAATTTCACAGGAGAGTCCCAAAGGAGGGCTGTGCCCTCAGAGGCCACCTCCTATCTGCAAGGACTGAGGGCTGGCAAGTCTCTGTTTCCGTGAACTGAGAGCTACTGGGATACTGAGAGAACTGAGGAAAACACTGCAGAGGTTGGATCAGACTAGAAATAGTAAACAGCTCTGGATCAAACCATTTCAGATGGAGGCATTGGCTGGAGGCATTTATCTCATGAGAGCCCTGGGGATTCACCAGGTACAAAATCACAACCTCGACTGCAGTGTCTGCCAGATCTTCATTAAAAATACAAGAGCATTATAAAACTTTATAAGCTTTATAAAACCATGATGTGATCTGCTTTTGAAGCCAATGAGAATTTTTCCAATACTCAGGATTTTGGGATGCTGTCTGAATTAAAGATGTGACAGAAATTAAGGTTATAAAAATATTAAAAAGTCAGCAGTAGCCTGCAGGAGCACATAATGTGGCTGCCTCTGGGGATGATTTAAAAACCCAAAATGTTTCCAGCATTAACAAGGAACAGGAAAGATTGGTCTGATAAACAAGAGGTTCCTAAGCCCAGTAAAGAATGAAAGAGATTCCTGCATATCTTTGTTTTTGTTTTTAGAAACTTTGTTTGGAGTGTGTGCAATTGTAATATCAAAGTATCACTGAAAGAAATTAGTACAGAAACTACATCTGATATATCTGCATTATCTCCTCTGGTGTAATTTAGAAATCCAAGAAACAGGTTACTTTAAAAAAAATTTGTCAGTTTGATAGTAATTAAGACTGCCTGTGACCACCTGCTTGAAAGGAGTGGGTTTAATTATTTAAATAATTCATGGCCAATGAAAAGAGGAATAATATCTAAACAATTAAAAAATTTTAGAACAGAATGTATTCTATCAAATCTCTAAAAACTCTGAGAACGAATTAGATAGAATAGACTTGTGTTTCACATAGAAATGATCCAAAATGAGAAATAAACCCTGTGCTCTGTTTTTGTACAAGAACCAGCTACAGCCCAAGATCAACAACTGACCAAGACCAGACCCCTCATTCTGACTGAGGGCAGGGTCAGATCCTTCAGTGAAATCCCCCAAAACAGAGATGGAAATAATGAAATGTGCTCTCTGTTGTGATAGTGCATAATCCAGAACTGTGGATTGCTGCTCATTGATGGAATCAGTGCAATCTGAAGGCAATCTCCACAATGAAAGCAACTTTTCCTTCTTTTACTGAAACTATATTGGCTGGTTATCATATACAAGAAAGCAAACAATCAAAATGAAGGGGAAATAATTTTTTCCTAGCTCAAGTTGTTGATAGTCTGCCTGTAAATTACAGGATTAGCTGTGCTATCTTTTGCAGGAGTTTTATTTAGCCCTTTGGAACTCCAGGTGCTTGCACCTCCCTCTACAGTAAATTTCTATATTTCCTAAATTTGTAACTTTATCTATAGACACCCTCACAGTCATCCTGTGTATCCAAATGTGTGAATGTACACAAACAGCATGCATGTCACTGATCTTCCATGCAGATTGATCACACCAATTGGGAAATTGCTTGGTTTTTATTTCTCTGACAAAATATCATTTTTTTAAAAAATAATAAAAATCAAAGAAAAAAATTCATAAAAATTCACCCAGAGGGTTGGAGGTTTTTTCCTTGCTCTTTTAGTTGAAGAAGGAAATGTCACCCTGAAATTTATTAATTTCCTCTACAGGGCAGACTTTGCCAAAATACATGGAGGAAGGAAAACAATCTGACATGTGCACTACTCGTGCCAAAGCCCTCAGATCAATAAGTGTAGAGAAAATGAAAGCCTTAGGATAATTACTCCCCAAAAGCTGAGCCCCAGCCACTGAGGCTATCCCATTTCTGATTTTCCAAGTGAGAATTTGTCCTTGTTTTGTGCTGCTCAGTGATGGGCACGGGCAGCTCTGAGGTGAGACTGAGAGGGAGCAGTGCAGCCTTTAACCACAACAGACCCTTGAATTTCAGCTGCCACCAGTGCCCACTGTGATACACAACATTCACAGATGGCACTGCACTTACTGTGCCTGACAGAAACCATTCTGAAGAGAACCTGCACTGGCACATCCACAAAACTGACTTAAATCTTGGATTTTGTACTTCACATCAAGCGTTCCCAGCTCCTGTAGCAAGTTTCAGTCACAGAAAAATTGATGCTGTAAGGTGAACATGACATTATCAGTTTGACAAACATTCATATGGTTATTACTTCCATTGTGGCAATTTTTAGAGATTCCTGTGGAGAAAGGTCTGTCTTGTCACAGAGGTTTGTAAAGATGTGTGAGAACTCATTTCCTCCAGAGATTATTGTCTGGCTGGCTGGGGAGGAGGGAGGCAAACATTTGTTTCAGGCAAGTCAGTTGAACAGCTGAGAAACAATTCAGAGCCATTTTTCACTAATAAAAAGAGTTTAAAACTTTAAAGTCCAACTGTCTTACAAGCCCCTAATGTGAGAGCAATGCACAATTGCAAGTTTTCAGAAGTTCTGCTGAGAAAATAGGTTGAAAGAAAAATAAATCTTTCTTCTTTTGGGGCAGAGTGCCAAATAATTAAAGCAAAATGAATGAAGTTCAAGAAAGAGTTTTCTCAACTATCTTAAATTTCTATACCTGGAAGTTACACCTCTGCAGCTGGAATTCTGCATTACAAAATGTCAGTACCCAGCCAAGTGACCATTAGAACATCTTGGTTATCTTTAAGGTTCACCTTCTGTAACCAGTGAATTAACCCCACACATGCTCAGGCATTAAAGAACATTTTTTTCAGTTTTGTTCCTTAGGAGAAATGTGTCATTAAGATGGTGAAAGTATTTTCTGAACTTCATAGGACAATTAAATGGCAATCCATCAGAAACAGAGGTATATGAATGAGAATGTTTCCTATAGAGATTTGATTATACCACTGTCAAACATTAAAAATGAGAGGCTTAAAGCAACCAAATATCTAGAATTAATTATGTGTCAGATTCTGAAGAATTTTGTCCTGAAAATTAACATAAACTTGCTTTGAAGATATGAATCATTGCACAGACTGAAAACTGAACAGACTGAAAGACTGCAAATAGTGGTAGAAGAAAACAGGAAGAAATTAATGGGAACATGAATTCAGGCTCATTGTGTAAGCACTTCTTTTTTACATTTTCTCCATTGTTAGAAGGGCAGCAGATATGTCTTATGTGTTATATATTATTTCAAAAATTACCTGATAGAAATTTCAAAGAAGGTGGAACTGGAGAAATTGTAGTGCTGACAAATCCACTGCTTGTATTTGCTGGTCAGGCCTGCTGGCAAAGCTGCAATAAGACAATTTTATCCTACAGTTCACTCTGCTTCCACTGATGCCAAGTGAGCACAACTGACTGGTGAGAACTGATAAAAGCTCCTGAAAAGAAGAATACACTGCTACAGGTGGGTGAAATCCTTTTCTGCTTCAGATGCTCTGGCTTGGCAATTTTGTTTGTAATGAGAGCAGAAGAAACAGATCTAGATTGGAAGCACAGGCCCAGATGGCTGCACGACGTGAGTGGAGGAGCAGATTGAGCCTCCCCTCTCCACTCACACCTGCAGAGTCCATGTTTTCCATGGGAAGCCATGTTCTTAAGGAAAACTGCTTTCTGTACTCCATGGAAATTGCATTCTGTTCAGACTGAGACTCTACAATGGTGCCTTCCAGTGTTTTTTAGCCTATATTTTATTTCAAGCAGTGAAAAATTCCAAAATCCTAATTGAATACAAGCCTGCCAAGGTGTGGGCTGCTTTGAGGATGATTTGTTTTTTAAAGTACCTCCCCAGTAAATGCTGGGCACAACAGCAAAATGAAGCTGTTACTTAACCTGAACCAAAATATTAGGTCTAGCTTCTGTAAACATGCCAGATTAAGCACAGGCACTTCAACAGTACCACTTATGTGCTTATCTATTAGAACATTATTTACAGAGGATTCAAAGCACTGCTAAACAGAAACAGAGAACACACTTTGTGTCTAGTTTGTACTTTCTGTAAGTGGGCTGGTAGATAGATGGGAAGCTCTCAGAGTTTCTGTAGAGGCAAAACCACCTGTGGGACTTGTGTTGAGTAAGTGGACAATTATCTAAACCAATTACTTAGTCCTGACTGCAATATTACAAATTTTTAAAGAACTGGACTGGCATTTGAAGCCCCCATAGTAAAGCTACCTGGATGATCCCAGTTCTTCTTCCATAGGTTTCCAGAATTACCTTTGTTTCCTCAAAAAAATTGTCCCCATTTTAATTTTTTTAACTACCAAATAATTTCTGTGTATCAGACACAAGGAGGTCATAGAACAGATAAAATAACAGTGCCTGATGAAGCTGTAGTTATAGGTGGCTCTTACATGAAGTGGAATTATCATACTTAAAGGACACAATAAAATGTGAAGGCCAATTAGAACAATTTTTTCTAAGCATCTATTAAATGATCTATAATCCTTCTGAGGGCCCAGTTTGTTGCTTCTTCATCTGGTAAGAACATAAGTGGCAAAACCAAATATATTTGAAATAAATCGATTTCTTTTTGTTTGTTTATTACAAAAAATTTTAAACCCCCACTAAATGCCTACTGATTTCCTCAAGTGGGAAAGCCCTACTTTCAAGGCACTCCTCAGTGAATATTTAATCATTCTTGTGAAGTGCAAAACCCCCAAGATTGCAGGAGGGAAGAGGGTACCCTAAGAATAACCAACAACCTGTTGCTCAGACCACTTTAACAGAAGATCTGAAGCTGGTACAATTTATTTTAAAACTTTGGTTTCAAAAAATTCCTGGCACTCTTTAATTGCATCTTCTGGTGTAATTCCCAAAGATTTCTGTATTTTGATCTCAGGTGATTTTTCCTGTTCAACCTTTGCTCTGGATCCTTTTTTGCATACTTTAGTAAGTGATCCCTAATTTGGGTCAATGTTTGAGGGGTTTTGTTTTGGTTTCCCCCCCATTCTATTGGTCTTAATAATGAAAAATACTTTAATTAACCTTTCTTTTTAAATCACAGAATAATGTAGTCTTGAAGAACAAGCTCTTTACAAAGACCTATGTTCCTTTATCTTGTTTCCCAGTATCACTGCAGCTTTCTTCCCACGGAGGCTCTGAAGGAACAGGAGTGCACGGATCCATGCCAAAGCCTGGGATAAGCAAGGGCTGCTGTGGAAAGTTCCCTGCACAGGAAAGCCAAGGTATTTCCCAGGGCTCTGGGAGAGCAGCTCTCCTCCAGCTGCTGGATTTAGTGTTGGTTTTCCTCAGCTTGGCTTCAGTTGCAACTGCTGATGCAGCAGTGAAACAATGAGCTGCACACACGGTAGGTGCACAATAGAATGTGAAGGGAGGGATGGGAAGCACTCAACATTTGTAGGGTTTGGTTGTTGTTTTCTTTTTAAAGAAGTTCTTTTTTAGTTGATTGTGATGTTAGATGAAATGCATTGTCTGGGTTCACATTCTCAAATGTCTCATGATTTGCTCTCATAGGAAGAGTAAACTGCTGATTTTAAGCAAAACCCTCAGTTACCTGAAGGGTGAGAGAAGATAAAAGGGAGAAATCCTGGTAGAAAGTGAATTTTCATCCTAAATGATGAAGCCAAATGAGGTCAGGCTGATACCACCTGATAGAAGGTGCATTCATGATTTTCCCCACCATCTCACAGTCACTGATACAAAGCAACAATATCTCAGATAGATATAAATATCAGATCCCAATCATCTGTACATGATGCTATTTTAAACTCTTCCACGTGAGAAAATTGGTTAAAAATAAAAATACAGCCCTTTTATTCTTCTTTAAATGTTCTGTTCAGTTCTTCATGCTGAGAGAATCACAGACCTGTCTATAAATATCTAACCCAGATCTACAATTGCTTGTTAAAAAGAGAGTGTTTGGTAGAAGATTGAATGAAATACAAAATGTCTTCTATTATTTTTATTAGAGACCAGATGTGGCCTCTCAATTTACCCTCTATCATTTGTAGATGTACATTCACCAAGAACATTGTATGTGTGCATATAAATATTTTCATGTTGTCGTGGTATAACAAAGGGTAATTGATTAGAAAAATCCCTATGGGATTTTCCACTTAAGAGCACATTTTTGTTTTAGCACTATTGTCTTCAAAATAAACATGTAAGGATGCATCTACTTTGATTGATCCAGCAGAAAGCAGCAGTGAACAGGCAGGGCTTTGGCTTTTGGGTAATGAATGGCACTGGCAAGGTGAGTGGAACTGGAGCCCAGGAGCTGTGGCTGGGGTGCTGCACCTCAAACACTGCTCCCTCCAAACCCCAGCCTGCTCTGCTGGGGCAAAAATGGTGCCATAGAAAGGGAAATGGAAATCCAGTCAGATTGCACAGGTCCCTAAAATGACTCTTTGTATTTCCACACAAGCTATTCACTTTCTGTAGTTATTTCTGTAAATTCAGTCTATTTACAGAGCACAGCATTCAGAGTCCCGGGCTAAGGACCTGGATTTCTGTGCTGTTTGACTTTGGCATTTAATCACCTGTCCAGGCTATTTGGAGACTTAGTTCTCTTTAAATTCCTGTGGGACCTTAGCTACATGTAATGCAATCAATACATGCTGAAAGGCCCTAATTGAGAATTTCTGGATGCAGGACAAGGTAAAACTGAAGAAAACTTAGACATATCTGCTGAGGCATTTTTCAGACAAGTTGGTTTTTAACTCTGCCATTAATCAACAGCAAGCTTCCATATGATAGTGTTGAAATAACAGCTCCTAAACTTCTCCGAGCTGTCCCATTCCTCAGGTGCTGCATGTCTGTAATTCCTTCAGTGCCAACATTTGATCTATGCTCTGGTGCCTCCCTCCAAGCTGGAGGAAAGCAGGTGCTGTGCTCTAGCAATGGAAAGTGCCTGGAGCTGCTCTCTCTGCAGACAGCATGTGAACGATGATGGTCCCAGCCAGGGTGATGGTGCTTGGTGCTTTATTTCTGCCACACTTGGTTAGAGTGTGGAAGATGCCTTTTCTCACATAGCAAGTACTATGCTAAAGATACATGTAATGTGACAGTTTCTATAGTAACTACTTGTTCTTTATGGGATTGCAGATTAAACCTGTACACCTTGTTATTGTTCTTTTATCCTATTATCTAGACTACTCAGTTACCACAGATACTTTTTTTTTTATTCTATTCCCTTGCCAACATAACGATATCAGGGATTTATGCATTTGCAAGTAAAGAGTATATATGAAAAACACAACACTTGAAAGTTTTAAATTGACCACTATTTGATCTTATAAATGCACTGAGATGTTTGTGCATATATATTGAAAGCTAAAATTTCAAAATAAGACTACAGAAATATTTTTATTAAAGCAGGTCAAAATTATGATTTGAATATTCTTGTTTTTCTGGGAGAACAATGTAAGTTATGTATGTGACATTTGTTTTCTAACAAATTTTTCTAGAACAAATTTACCAGTCTAGATGTACTGGCAAACTCTTCTAATGTAAACGACACCTAAGATACCTTATAGGAAAATTTTCTCAATATGGTATACTGATTTTTACATGGAATTATTTCATTATTAGAATTCATCAATGCTACAGCTCTGCTGATAATATCAGTACTGGAAGTGATATCATTTACAGGAATCAGATGTTTTCTGCTTTGTATTATGTTAGCCTTATTGTGGGAAAAAATGCCTGCATCCCGTCTGTGTGTGAGTCTCTGTTGCTATCTCCAGCAGAAGTGTATCAGTTACAAATCAAGCTTATAAAATTAGCAGTGTAGGGAGAAATCAGCTACTTGATCAGGGCTGCAGATTCAACAATGCAACTAGTATTGTAGCCAAAAGGAAAAAGACACTAGGAAAAATGTAAAATGTGAATTGGGTAAATCCATTAATGAGATAAAAAGAAAATGATACTCATCGTTAATTAAAAAAAAAAAAGCTGTAGTAAATTACACATACACAAATGCAAAAGGCAGAAGGGGAAAATCAGAAAAAAAATCTACGCCCAGTACTGAGAGCAGCTGAGTGACGGTAGAAGCGGAAGGCAAACAGTAGAATAAATTCCGTGTAACTAAAGAAACTGTTTTTTCTCCCTTTACCCTTGACCGTATCCTTCCAACACGTATGTGCCCGGTTGGCCCTACAGCACGCATTGTGCATTGAGCCCCGGCAGCGCGGCCGCGGCCGGAGCCGGGCAGTGCCGCGCTGCAGCGAACATGGACCCGCGGGTGCGGATGCGGTTGTGCAGAGGCAGAGCCCGCGGCACGTCTGTACCCGCACATTATGTAACGCGCGAGTGCAGCCGGGGAAAAGGCACAAACCCCTCGCCAACAGCCCCCGGCTCCTTCTGCGCCGCGCTGCTCCGGGCGGGGGCTGCGGGGGCTGCGGGCCCGGCCGCCCCCCGGGCGGGAGCCGGAGCCGGAGCGGAGCCGCCCGCCGGCCGCGCCGCCGCCCCGCCCGCGGTACCTCCGCCGTTGGCGTGGAAACGGGCTGGCGGCTCCGGCTCCTCCTCCAGCGCCAGCCCCGCGCTCCCCCTGCCCGGCTCCCCGGCGAGAGCGAGCAGCACCTCCCTGTCTCCCGCGGGGGGCCGCCGGACAAGCGCTCCCACGGCCGCCTTTACAACAGCCCGGGTTTTTACGGTTGTGTTTTCCAGGGAGAAGATGGGAAAGGGCAGGTTCCTGCTCCTGCTGGGGCTGCGGGGCTAGTCCCTGCAGTCGTGGTGTGTCTGCTCGGCAAATCACAGATGCTGATGTGAAAAAGGGCCAAAGCAGAGGAGAGGCGTCAGTGGATGCGAGCGTTTGTACTGATGGATTGAGGAGGTGGAGGCTGCCTGCCTGGTGCTGGAGAGGTGAGTGCAATATTCCGCATTTCCTTCTCTCTTAAATCAGTTCAGTGATGAACATTTCCAAAATAAGAAAAAGCACTTCTATAGCAAGCAGGAAAAGATGTAATTTTGAAACAATAAGCTATGCTTCTGCTGGATAAAAAATATGAGTGTCACTGTGAGGTAGGAACATTTCGCTGTGTGTAGACAAAAAATAGTAAGGGGAGGCAGGCTGCTGATACAGTGAAAATGACCTTCTCAAGGGATACCGGCCTTCTATTAGCTACTGCTTCAGCTTGGGCCCTTCTTCTAAAAATTAAGTGGTCTCCCTTTCCTAGCCTGAATTGTAACCCATTAATAGCCAATACCTGAGCCTTAATAAGATCTGCTGTGTCCCCTTAATGATTCAGGAAGATAATCCCTTAGATTGTGCCTGTTGGGAGAAGAACCTCCACGCTATGTAGCACCTCCTCCCAGGGAAATGCAGCCTGGATAACATTCTATCAGAAAAGACTCCTGCTGCCAAATTTCTGTAATAAGTGCTCCTGGTAGCAGTCTCATGTGCTCTTGGGAAGGATGTGTGGCTCTGCAGAGCCTGGATGCGTTCCCTCTCTCTGTGTGCCCGTGCATGTGAAGGAATGGGGAGGGTTCACATTAATCTGCACCTGTGGACGGCTCCCATCTGCACTTGTGAACCACAAGTTTTTTGATATCTTTGCATTTGCATTTTGGGTGAGCGCTTCATACACAAAACCTCCAAGCCTGCAATGTTAGCTGAGAGAGCTGCAGACAAATAGATGTCAGTTTAATTTCTGCTCATAGAACTGATCTGATCTGCTTTTGGCTGTTTCACTGTAGAAGCCGTTTAACGTGTCTTCTTGCAGTATTTATTCTGCAAGATACTGACCAATCTCAACATTTTCCTGGGAAGATTTGAGAAAAAAAATCACTAGATTTCCCTCCAGCACTTCTTTATATTTGTTTATAGCCATTTTCTGATAGCCTCACACCCACAAATTGATTTTTATTTGGGCTCGGTATTTCGCGCCATTGTGGGTCACACCCTTCGGGTGGCCATCAACATTTCATCCATAAAGGTTACAACAGCAGGTCAGGTGCTCTGAATACCTACTTGTGGATCACAAAGAAGCAAAAAAGGAGTGTGTATTTTGGACTTAGGGGAAATTTTGTCTGACTTTATGGATATAGATGCTGGAAGTCCGAGCTGATGCCTTAGGTGCTGTTATAGGCAGAAATCCTCACTTTCCTTCAACAGGCACAGATTTGACAGCTGAACAGACACAGCTCTGCAGAACAGAGAGTGTTTTGCCATTAATGTGGATGTCTCCATCAAATCATTTGTTTGGAAGCTATCATGCAAA